TATTCGGTCTAGAAATTAAAATGATATATCAAAATACTCATCAACTGCGGGAGTTTTTGTTATAATCTAGTCAATGTGCTTGACCTCTGATTTTAGAAATAATCTCAAATCAATCAAAATATTACCATTTTCTCCATAGACATAATGTTAAATTCAAACTTGTTTTTAGGCTATATTGTGAAATTAGTCTCAAGTTATTTTTGCTCCTGTTTAAAAATATGTAATCAAAATTATAGTGTTGTATGTAGTTTTTGGTTAATTAATGATTTTTAAATATTTCAGATTTATATGATCTCAAAATACACAACTTTTGCAAAAAATGTTCTATAATACAAAAACTACATGCAGCACAAGAATTTTGATTACATATTCTTAAACAGGAGCAAAAATAACTTAAGACTAATTTCACAATATAGCCTAAAAACAAGTTTGAATTTAACATTATGTCTATGGAAAAAATGGTAATATATTGATTGATTTGAGATTATTTCTAAAATACAAAATCAAGCATATTGACCAAATCACAACAAAATCTCCCGCAGTTGATGAGTATTTTGATATATCATTTGAATTTCTAGACCGAATATATTTCGAGATATTCGAGTTTACTTTTGGGGAGTCGATTAATCTCCACCCTATACTATTAGATTATAAACATGCTCATTTAATAATGTTATATTTACTGTATGTGAATACAGGCTATGCTTCAAATGGTGATCGACAAGAACGGCATGAATTCATTGAATTATCAAAAGAGAAGTTTAAAAATTTAAACATTAAATACAATGAATGGATGAAAAAAGAGGGATATCCCCTAAACACTGGAAATACAGGCATTTCTGATTCGCCGTATCTTAATATCTATGGATATCCCGAAGAATTGGATTATTTAGATCTCAGACCACTTCCGGAGAAGTGGTTAAGAGTCGACGCATTCATGAGAAGAGGAGAGAACCAAGAGTTTAAAATTCCCGATAAATTCCGGGAAAGAGATGTAGAAAAATGTAAACTAATTTATTTGTCATTGGGTTCTATGGGTTCAGCAAATGTGGATCTAATGAAGAGATTGGTGTCTATTCTCAGCAAAAGTCAGCACAAGATTATTGTCTCGAAAGGAGTCTTCGGAGACACATATGAATTGGCGGACAATATGTGGGGCGAGCCGTCAGTCCCGCAGACAAAAGTGTTGCCATTAGTAGATGTGGTCATAACACACGGCGGGAACAACACTATCACCGAAACATTCAGTTGTGGTAAACCAATGATAATAATGCCATTGTTTAGCGATCAATACGATAACGCACAGAGAGTTATGGAAAAGGGATTTGGGATTAGACTTAATCCTCACAACTGTTCAGAACAGAAATTATTGGATTCAATTGAAATACTATTGAATGATAAGGAATTGAAACACAAATTATCGGTCGCTTCAAAACGTATGCATAACTCTAATAGTCTTCAAAAAGCGGCCGAAAAAATTGAAAATTTAATTAAATAATGTGTAAAATGTTTGTCATTTAAATTACAAATAAAATAATTCATTTGTAAAAATTGTGATTCAATATAAATAATCAATAATTAAAATTTTTAAAAACATTTTAGTTATGCACTATTGTTTGCGTACAATTAGCTTAAACTGAAAATAATTACAGCGATTATCACTGATATTGTGGTCAAATAATTTACAACTCATTAACCATACAATGAATTCTGGGATCCGTTTATTCATTATTTCTATTTATTAAATGTATTTTTTAATTATAAATCTATTTTAAACTCTCATTGAAAGTCAGACCAAAAGTTTTACAAAACTGTTATAAAAATGTGTCAATAGATGTGAGTATTGTTAACACTTTATGTTTTGTATGGCTTTTGAATCAAAAGTATTGATTGAATGTCAATAATATTGACTCAATATTAGCACATGTTTTGTGACCACAAATATAATTCATTCAAACAGTCACTCATTTGATCCCAAGATATGGCAGGAAAGAGAAAACACACGAAGAGATCAGTTGTTACCACAGATGACGGCAACGAAGACAACAAACAAAAAGTATTTCAGAAATAATTTCACAACAATTAAGTGTTTAATGTTTTTGTCTCACATTTTAGCCACAAATGTATGCAAAGGACTCAATGGACAGATTCGGTGATGATTTGTGTCAACTCTTGTTATCCTATCTGACACTCGCAGACTGTTTTGCCACCGAATGTGTGTCCAAACAGTTCCGGAGGACTATCTTCGAGAGTGTTGTGGACATCACTCTTGACGACAAACTCATCTGCAAAACACAGCCGAAGTCGTCGTTCAAAGATATTTATTATATGATTACTAAAGAGTGAACATATATGTAGTAATAAGGCCAAAAATATGTAATATAATATGTGGTAATAACTCGAAAAATATGTAATTATATGTGGTAATAAAATTACCAAAATTTTTGATATTTTGGTATAAAAAGAGTTAAAATATTGTATTATGCACAAATTTCCAAAAATATGTAATATAATATGTGGTAATAACTCGAAAAATATGTAATTATATGTGGTAATAAAATTACCAAAATTTTTGATATTTTGGTATAAAAAGAGTTAAAATATTGTATTATGCACAAATTATGATGGAACACACAAATAATTCACGATTTATACAGTTTTTCTGGTGGTATTCAGTTAAAATATTCAGATTTACTTATAAATGCCTATTCTAAAATTTGTCATCTGTACTTCGTCTAATTTAGTTTATTTGAGCTAGTAATGAATCTTATAAAAAGATATGTTTGAATTATGAAAAAATAAAATATTTAGACTTTTTGCAAGAAATATCATTTTTGAATCAATTATTTGACAAAATTTTTGAAAAAGCATACAATTTTCATATATTTTGCCGATTTTTCTCAAATATGTGAAAATATGTGCTAACATTCAAAATATGTAATTATATGTATTTATGTAATAACAAATAGGTCTTAAAATACTCCTTATTATATGATTCGGATAGATCTTTAAGTTAGAGTTTGATATCTTGTACCGCAAAAATATGTAAAAATATGTAAAGTTCACTCTTTGATGATNTCCTCAAATATGTGAAAATATGTGCTAACATTCAAAATATGTAATTATATGTATTTATGTAATAACAAATAGGTCTTAAAATACTCCTTATTATATGATTCGGATAGATCTTTAAGTTAGAGTTTGATATCTTGTACCGCAAAAATATGTAAAAATATGTAAAGTTCACTCTTTGATGATTACTTTAAGCCAAACAATAGCCAAAAAGTGTCCAAACATTGCGACCATTGACTGCCGAGGAATGACATTGCCTTACAAATACATTGATGAAGTGTTGGCCGTATTTCAAGACAATTGCCGGCATTTGCGGGACATTTACTGCAATTTGTTTTGGTCTCAATTGTGCCAATCGTTCGGACCTCTGATCACACGACTCTGTTTTATAGACTCATCGAAAGGACTCATTCATTGCCACCGATTGTCTGAATTGCATGCCTTCGAGTTGTCCGACGCCTTCGACAACACTTCGGGACAGTTATTAGCGAAGAATTTACGCAAATTTTCATATTTGTATGTTTCAAATGATAATAACCAACAGTTGTCTGCATTTGTGGCACAGAATCAGTCGCTTAAAAGTCTTGGCCTAAGAACTGACGAAACAGATACTAACGAAACGCTGACCGAAATGTGCGGACAATTGTCGCGATTAACGCAATTACGGGAATTGTCGGTACATTTCATGCTAACGAGTGGTCAGAACTTATTGAACGCGTGTTTGCGTACAATTGGCTTAAACTGCAAACAATTGCGCCGATTGTCACTCGCGTTGCACTCAACTGATCCCCAACTCTATGGCAATACAATGGATTCGTTGAGAGTTTATTCCCGATTAAAACGATTGGATTTATTAATACCTGAAACTATTGACGAGAAACTGTTGGAACCGTTAAAACTCTGCCACCGATTAACGCATTTAACACTTACTTCAACGCAAATGAGTGATAAATTACTGGATAATTGCTGTAATCATTGGCCACGACTTCAATACCTAACCATCAGATCCGATACAATCACTGGCGAGTGTTTGGTTCATATCTCAAGACTACCGGCGCTGCAGACACTAGACATTCAATGCAATCATAGCATTGATCTCTTGGATAATGATTTCTATGATCTGTTGTCCAGAAGTCCTAAACTAAAGAACATTAAAATCAGTGGAAATAATGTTAAGAAGTTTTATTCAAAGAAAAGTACAGTAAATGTTTAGTTTAATTACTATTTAACTAATACAGTATATAATAGCAAACAATTTGATTAAAAATTTGATAAACATTTCATAATTAATTGTAACTTATGCTATATTATTGTCATTTGTATTCTTTTCAACGAAAGTATTATTAAATAATAAAACAAAACTTTTAACGAAAGTTATAATTTTTGTGTACACTTTTGAAAACTAATTTTGATTAATGAATTAAATTCAGCCTAAAATAGTTTACAAATCGGAATTAATAAATAACTAACAAATCAATGGAGTGAGAAGTCACTGGTGTGAGAACTCTTTATTAACTGTAGAAATGATTTTTAGGAGTTATATATGGCAGAGGGCAGAGTTCTCACTTCATTGAGGGCTCACTTCAATGAATAAATAGTAATATAAATTAATAGTAAATTAACAATGTTTTGTACTGTATATCATCTAAATATCTGTCGTATAAAATGCAATCAATTTTGAATGTTTATTAGTTTATAATTATTAGTTTATAATAAAACTATAAATTAAGTGAATTATTAGTTTATAAATTATTACCCTGTAAGAATCTAGTCTTATTTATAATCCCATTAATTATTTTACTAAATTTATTTTGAAAGTTAAATGGTATATTGATCTGGACTTATTTTTATTACACCCAGCAGTAAAATAGTTACTTTTAATTAACTACTAATTAATAATTATTATGTAATGAATGAATCCGTATTTATTCATAACGATTGCAAATCTCTGTAAAGAGAGGTGTCGTGTGTTTAGGCCAGTGGCCGATGCAGTGCTCCAATATTTTATCATGCAACTTATTTAAATATTTAATACAATTTTTTAAACTTATTATTTTGGCCGACGCTAACAATTCCGATCGATATTTCATTCGTAAATATCGGTTAAATAAATATATGTATACATTCTGTTGGTGTCTAAATGCAAATAATAATAATAATATACATTAGAATTAATTAGGGTTAATTAATACACTTTATATAAATTATAATATAGAAGTGATACGTTAAAATAAATTGTTATCTATTATTGATTTTATTGATACCATCTAGAATCTAGATTCTAGATATTATTGTACCATAATGGCAATTCATTATACTTACTTAATTGTGGTTTTATGAGTTAGGTGCGGCCGATTGGGGTTAAATAGGAAGATTGCTGTTAACTGAAATAGTAATAATTGAATTAATTGTAATTTATTCATTCTAAAATAAATTACAAAATAAATAATAAGCGGATCTGATTCCCAGTATAGTCCAAAATATTGTAGGAATTCTTTGTGACAATCATAAGTACTGCCAATTTCACCATCCATTATATGGGCTTTTAACAAGTCCAAATGAACTACATATGAATTTTCACCCTGGTTATTTTGAACACAATTTAGATTTTTACCACAATGTAATGTGCAATTAGTGTACTCACCAAGGCTATATTCCAATAATTACCTTGATAATTAAACGACGAAACCATACGTAAAACATTAATCTTAATCGACGAGTATTTAATCAAAATTAAGCGATCGTTTTCGCAGAGATCGCCAAAACTGGCCAATAGTTGACACATTTCTACCGTCTCTTTAATCCAATTCTCGTGTTTCAGCGCTAATACAAGTAATCCGTCGGTCATCTCATCGACAAGTGTCTCATCCCTGGGATTACCGGTGTTTTCAGGTGTTTTAGTGGCGTTCAGTAATTCAGTGAATCGATTGCCTTCTAATTCATTGAAAACAGTGTTGTAATCAGTGATCGGCCTATCGATGGCCACCAGTTGTTGGCCCGATATGTGTCCACTCATATCGCAAATGTTGTCCACATTTGTGTCAATATATTGTTTATCCGTGAAATCAAATGGTAATAAATCTTCACCACTGGTTGACGAGCCCTCGACTACTTGTATGTCATTTAAGTACTTTAGATCCCATTTAAGTTTACGGCAATAAATTAAGTGCTAAATTAAAATGCATTAAAAATAACAATCACTAAAAATAGTTACAATTGTATTGTATATAAATAAATACGGGTTTCATTCCGGCGGCCAAACACTTATCTAAACGACATCTCTTACAGTGTTTGCGATTGTCGGCAGTTATGACACAATTGCCGCCCAAAAAGCATTTGAATTCACGCTTGTATTAAATCAATTCTTACATTAATGTAATTTTCGTATATAAATACTGTTTTACCATATTTTTCAACGCATTCCTCTTGAAAAATGATTTACAAGATTCACAACTCATTGCATCAAAATGAAAGCCTGTTTTATTAATTTGCAAACATAATTAATAGTGATTTAAATAAACCATCCTGGTATAAAATTATTACCACACGCTATATCGCCGCATATACGACAGTATTTGGTAGGCGTTTGAGTAGACATTTTTTGACACTATTTATTATTTAATTATATAATTCATTCAAATTAATATAAATTAACGAATTTATTAAAAAACTAAATTATTTAAAATAATGAAATTCAGTCCTTGAATTGTATAATTGCTATCAAAGCAATTATAATAAAAGTAAAGAATGTAAAGGTAAAATGTTATGGTAAAAAATGCCATCCATTGAATTCAATGGGACCCTGAATTTCATTATAAGATAATTGATAAGACATTGAATTTTGGACTCATAATATTTATTTTATAAAATGATTGAAAATTTACAAAGTAGGATGACGGATTTGGGCTAAGCTGGCAACCGGGATTTGACCATATAAAATGAAAGTACAATGCATAAGGAGTCCAATGATATAATCTATATGGCCGTACCTACCTCGGGTTCGGCGGTAATGACCACTTTTATCGTGAATTTCAAACTTATAAAAATTAACATATGATATATGAGATCTATGTAGAATTTAACGTAGATTCAGAATATATCATTATTATTTGCATGGGACATATCGTTTTTGAAATA